GTAATTTTAGTAATCGTCGCATAGCCATTGGTCATGGGAGCGGCCTCCCAAAATAAAAAGCTCTTACCTAAATATGATCAATTCTTATCTAAATAAGGCCCAACATGTCTCAAAGGTCCAATTAAACTCTTAAATAAATCTGAGGCTATTACGAGTCAACGCACATATGTTGACTGTTACAATATGCCTTTACTATAGCAAGAGGAAATCCCTCGTCATTTCCATCAAGGAGAAAATGCCTTAGCTTAACCTATATTGTTTCTCTGGAGGCGTAGAGATGCCTCCACTTCCCCAACAGCGCCATCAAGGTTGGGTTACCTTCTCTACTGGTCGAGAGCGTTGAGAGCGTTGAGACACCTTCACTATTTTTTTTTCGTCATCTTTCTAACACCAACGGAAAGAGTTACCTTCTCTACTAATTAAGATTCTGTCATTTTCAGTTTGTTTTAATTAAGATGTGACCACTGAATGTTAACGATTGTTAAACCTTTAACGATTGTTAAACCTTTAACGGTTTGCTAACATGGCACATAAAATATATAAAATTAAAATTACATCATTTTCACATAGATAATACGTGAATTAAGTTTTAATCACTTTCCTTTCATAATTGTACAACTTCGGTCACTTATGTTATCATTTTATTAAGTTTTAGTTACTTACGTTATCGTTTTATTAAGTTTTAGTCACTAGGACGTTGAATATTGTTAATTTGATGACGTGACCCGTTAGTAAAATTGTTTAATTTTTATTTTAACCCCTACACTTTAGACAAAATACTAATTATGAGTCTTTTTGTAAATTCAAATTATTTAGAGATAACATTTCAATTTATCCAGTTTTAATAAGTTTTCTTCCCAACCCCATTATTGTTCACCTTCTCTCTTCTTCTTCTTTAAACATCTCTACTTTATTGGACCATATTCCTTTAAGGACTGATGCTTCATTTCAAGAATGATGAAAGATTTTCAAGTTTTGATGACAAATAATAACACCATAAGTTCAAAGAAAAATGAGTGGGTAGGCATTTAGAGATAAAATGAAGCTATGTAAAATGAAGCTATGTAATCTCAATTATAAAAACTAAAATTCAATTTTCGAAGATTGAGATTGCAGAATGTCAAATCCAACAAGGAACAATAAGACAAATCAATTGATCCAAATAATTTGATAACTAGATATCTCTCTTTGTGATGATTTTTCCTTGAGAAAACACATTTGGTAAAACATAATAAATGGATCCAAAACCCGATAATTGGATCCATAAATTTATCCACTGAACTCAATCTGAAATCCATGATCTTTAACATCAAGAACAAACCATTTTTCGATTCTAGATCCCTATGAACCACCGTTAACCCTTGCTGCCTGTGAGATCTGTCGCACCACCGCCCCCACACCGACCTCTGAGTATCTCATTTTCAAGTGATTAAAACTTAATAAAACGATAGATTAAGTAACAGAAAACTTCATAAAACGATAATGTAAGTGATCATAAGTGTACAAATTTGAAAGGAAAAGTGACCAAAACTTAATTTGCGTATTATCTACGAGGAAATTGTGTAATTTTAGGGTCCATTTGTTTCGCGTAAAACATTTTCCTTATTTTCCAGTATTTGGTTTGATGAAAATTGCTTGGTCAATATAAAATATTTTTCCGATGAACAAAATTTCCTTTGCATTTTATGGAAAATGACTTATGATCTTATTTTATGAACTTTTCACCTCAAAGAATAAATACTCAAAATATATATTTATTATTAATATAATATTTTAATATCATTTTAATAAAAATTTATTATTTATTAAAATATTTAAAATGTATTTATTAATTTTTTAATAATATAATATAATATTTTAAATATTATAGTAACATACTCAATTATATTATAATAATATACTATATTATATTTTTATTTTAATAATATCTAAAATATTCATCAACCAGTGAATATGATTTACATCAACATCTTCGATCAATGTTATAGCTCAAACGAAAGTGACCATCTAGTTTACTCTACATAATTTTCACATATAATTGTTTCATATATTCGATCAATGTTAAGGTATTTATAATTTACCGCTATCCTTTTGGAGATGTCACTAGAAACAATTTGCTCCATCATGAATGACGGGCTAATCAAGTCTACACCTAAGACTCCATTTGAGATATGGCATGGTAGGAAGTACAAACCCTAGATTTCTTACCACATAAGTATATACATTTTCCATTAGATTTTTTTTAAATATAGCTAACGTGATATATCTTTATTCAAAACGTATTAATTATTAATAAATATTATTTAAATTTTTAATATATTTAGATAAATAAATTGTTTATTTGTTCGGTGTTTTCCAAATATTACATGATCATACTGTAGACACCAATTTTCATTATATATATATATATATATATATATATATATTATAGTTTGAAATCATTTTAAAAAATTATATAATATATGGGTTTTTAAATGTTTTGAAAATATATGATATATAGTTTTTAAAAATATTTTTGAAAATATATATTATATCGTTTTGAAAACTTTTAAAAATATATATATATATAATATAATTTTTAAAAAAAGTTTTGAAAAACATATATATTATATGGTTTTGAAAATTAGTTTTTAAAAATCTATATAGTTTTGAAAACATTTTTGAAAAACATATATATTATATAGTTTTGAAAATTAGTTTTTAAATATACATATTATATAGTTTTAAAAATTAGCTTTTAAAAATATATATATTATATAGTTTTAAAAATTAGTTTTTAAAATATATATTATATGGTTTTGAAAATTATTTTTTAAAAACATATATTGTGTAATTTTAAAAAATGTTATTTATTTATTTATTTATTTATTTATCTATTTATTTTATTTTATTTATTTATTTATCTATTTTCTTTCTTTCTTTTTTCTTCTTCTGGTTCAGGTCTAAAGGTAGGGTCCAAATGGTCCAAGGATGAGCCCAACTCGGGTATCCCATAGTTTAGATTGGGGTTCTAATAATGTTGTAGTAAGGGATTAGGGTTTACAAACCCTAAAACATCATTTGTCCAAGCAGATCTGGACCGTTGGATCTGACTCAATCCAACGGCCAAAAGCAATCTCAAGCATCATCGAGCCAACAACACAGTCAACACCCAACACACTTTCCGGCCACGCCAACGGGACTGAACCATCCCGAGGCGGCCGGCGTGAAACAAGGAATCACAACAGCCCGTAACAAGAACAACCCCGAATAATCCAGGATCGACCGCAAGATAACCGGAAATAGTCCCCGTCGGGGCATTATAAATACGTACACAGAACCACAGCCAAAACCAAGGAAAAAACTGAGAGGCTACAACAAAAAATACCCACATCAAGTACCATATCACAAACAAACCGGACGAGAACCCATGAGAACAGTAGACCAAGCACACAGAGAGAACAAACAGAGAACCATCGACCAACAGCAAAGAACGAGACAAAACCAAATACATACAAAACCCACAGTAAACAATACCATCGAACCAAAACACGAAGCAAAATGGAACCAAAATAACCAAAGGCCGAAGCCCCACAAAAAACGAAGCAAAATAAAAAGCAAAGCAAAGTCGAGAACTTTCATCGGGAGCATTTCGAGGAAAACGAAAGGAGCACCATCGGAACGCCGGAACCCGAAGACAAAGTCATCGGAAAGGTGAGAAAATCGGACGGTTTCCTTTAGATCTACGCCATTTGGGGTTATTTTGGGGAATTTTAGCTTCGAATCGGGGTTTAGGATAACAAGGAGAGTGTTTTAGGGGGTTTGGCGATGGCCAGCCGGGGCCGATCATCCCCTCCGATGGGGTATTTAGAGAGAAGGCAGAGAACTCTCTTCCTTGCTTTTTCTAGTGAGAGAGGCAATTGAACCAAATGGGGAAAGATAAGCCATTTTGGCTTAAGGGAAGCATATATATATATAGCCTAGGCAAAACGACGTAGTTTCAGTGGGGGGCATTTGCGTGATTTTCCGCACGGGTAAACTATTCTACCGATCCTTGTAAGTTTTATTTGTTATATTTTAATCATTGAATTAAACTTTCACTACTTTTAATTTGGAGTTCTAATTTCGCTATACTTATATTATGGTCACTAATTCTTTTATATATATATATATATTTATTTATTTATTTAATTTCGTTTATTCTATTATATATTTTATTATTATTATTACATTAATATTTTTTCTCTCATTTGATTCTTTTTTATATTTATTATTTTTTTCATTTTTTCATTTATCTTTTTATTTTTTTTTCTGTTTTTCTATATATACATATATATATATATATATATATATTTATTCTAACATTGTTGATGTTTTTCAGAGAAATTCTAATCGAATGTAAGCAATTCGAATCGAATGTTTAAATTTAAATTTAATTTTTTAATTTTCACAATTAAGACAACCGGAAAATTAATTGGTACCGAAAGGGCGGTTCAAGGGTGCTAATCCTTCCTTGACCGTAACCGACTCTCGAACCCGACACGTTTCTGGCACAACGCAGATCAGGTAAGATGGTGTCCGACCCACCTAAATTCGTTTTAAAATGGTCGGTGGCGACTCTAACTCAATTCATTCACGTCGAAGCCCAATTCCGGGCCCACCCGAAAGACGGTTACAACACATACTTTAAAATTTTCTGAATTTTCCTATAAAATTGTATTAATAAATTGAAAAATATGTATAAAACTCCAAGAGTAGAGGAGGGTAACTTCGATTATTTGAAAACTAAATCAAAATTAACAGATGTTTTCCTATTTCATACAATAAATAATACGATAGCTCTAAACTTTCCAAAAAGCAAAATCGTTAATGCGTAATTAATCAAACTGGAGCACAAAGATAATAATTGCATAATACAGGGACTATATGCACAATTAGAACCTTGTCATTTTATTCGGTCACACCAATCACTTAAACAACGGTGTTATCTCGTTAAAAATGTCACGGTTTAAGGGAAAGAAGAGAATAGAATCGGGTGAACCGGATAAAAGGAATCGGTTAGGGCAGTTTTAGAAGGATATAAAGTAAGAAGAAACATCTGGAGAGAGCGGCTTTAGGGCGTAAAAAGAAAAGAAAAACAAGCCGTGGAAGAGGGCTCTCTCTTGGTTCAGCTTATTCCCCCCTTAACAAAATCTTTTCAGGTAATTTTCCAGATCTAATCTGAAATTTCCTCGTTTGTTTTTGGGTTGCTTTTGAAATATTGATTTATATATATATATTGTTTTGGCTGTTGGAAAAAAAGATGGATCGTTATCAGAGAGTGGAGAAGCCGAAAGCAGAGACACCCATTGACGAGAATGAGATTCGTATTACCAGTCAAGGCAGGATGCGTAGTTATATCACTTATGCCATGACTCTGCTCCAGGTTTTTTTTTTCTGGGAGTTTAATTTCTGCATGTTTAGATCTTTTCTAAATTTGGGTGTTTGATTATTTTGTGAAATAACATTTTTGATAGGAAAAGGGATCGAATCAAGTAGTTTTTAAAGCAATGGGAAGAGCCATTAACAAGACTGTGACTATTGTGGAGTTAATTAAGGTACTACTATTTTATAATCTATGTGGATAGTTGTATTGTTTGGTTGTTTCTTAGAATGGTTGATAATGTGCACTGTACTTGTAATGCAGAGAAGAATTGTTGGTCTACATCAGATTACTTCAATTGGATCCATGGATATAACAGATATGTGGGAGCCTCTGGAGGAAGGACTCCTTCCGTAAGGACTATATAATTTCTTATTGTTCTTTTTGTGTCCTTAATATGTTTCTTTAGAGAATTTTAGTAACCTTTGTTTGATTACCACAGATTGGAGACCACAAGGCACGTGTCGATGATCACTGTAACCCTTTCGAAAAAGGAATTGGATACATCCTCTGTTGGGTAAGTTCCTGTACTTGTTGCTCTTTACTGATGTAAGTGCGTTGTTCCTCGTTATACTTGTTTAGCTTGAAATATTATTGTCAATATGAAGCAAGTTGTCTTTACCTTTGATGTGTTCGTGCTAGTTAAATTACATTTATGTGAATGTTGTGGAAGGTTTTATGCTCTGATTATGGTGGCTTGATGTTTCATTTCACATGAATCGCCTTTTCATCCAGGTACCAGCCTCCATTACCTGCAGATCAGGTGAAGGCATCCACAGAAATCGATCATGAAGGAGGTGGGGATGCATTTCATTATCTACGCTGCAATTTCTTTTTGGTGATGCCAAATACCTATGTTTGTTTTTATATACATTTTTTTGTTTGGCAGAGGGCTCTCCTAATGGCCGTGCTAGAGGCCGTGGTGGTAGAGGAAGGCCAAGGGGTAGAGGTAATGCCAATTTTGAGTATTGGGTTGCACCTTGATAGATGTTCTTTTTGATTGTTATGTTAGGGGCATGGTTTTCAATGGCTCTGAATGTTATTGAATATCATGTGAGAAATATTTTAAGAAAATATTTAGTTGTATTCTTCTTCAGGGAATGGTTTTGTCTCTACTGAGTATGAGGATGGAGGCTGGGACCGCTTTCGTGGCTATGCTAGGGGTAGAGGTCGAGGAAGAGGACGTGGCTACCGAGGCCGTGGGCGTGGAGGATACAATGGACCCCATTTCGACAGGCAGCAAGATGATGGCCGTGGGCGTGGAGGATACAATGGACCGCAGTTTGACAGGCAGCAAGATGATGGCCGTGGGCGTGGAGGATACAATGGACCCCAGTTCGACAGGCAGCAAGATGATGTCTACAACTATGAAGCCCCTCCCCAAGGTGGTCGTGGTGAGTTTTCTCTCTTATTTTTCAGTTATAATAAAATTTTAACATGTTTAACAGTTTTTACACATGAACCATATGCATGTCTATCATCACCACTAATATCCTCCTTTTGCACCTCTTAACATAATGCTGTTTAACTATTTTGAACATGAAGAATCAAAGTACGCTTACAAATAAAATGATGTGGCATTAAAAAGAAGTTAATGCGGAGATGCAATTATTGACATGTTCATGCTTCTGAAATTTTCTAACGATTGTCAAAGTACAATAAACAGACATTATGCCGATAACTTTAAGAAGGAATGCAGTGAATAGGTAAATAACATAGTTTCTGATGGTCCTTGATTTGCTCTTTGAAGGTCGTGGCCGTGGCAGGGGATATCGTGGAAGGGGCCGTGGGTTTAGATCTAATGGGCCGATGCATGCAACTGCATGAGATGGTTTGTGGCAGTCCTTGAATGATATGGAAATGATGGTGTCGGATTCATATCCAGTCATGTTTATGATTTTTTTGGTCGTTCTTTATTTCTTCTATAGAATTAGGTTTGACCAATTTTTTCTTCGTTGTTAATTGCTAGCAGTTTAGCGTGTGTTCGAGTTCGCGTTGGTGTCGATGTCAATGTTCATGAGTAGACTTAGAGTAGTTGCATCTCGGGTTTCTACTAGTGCAGCCGCCGCCCCTCACTATAGGAGGGCAGATCTTTTTTGGGTTTATTGTTCTGTAGCCTTAGCTTATTACTATATGTTTTGAACAATTGTGAACAGAATCCCCCAGTATTATCATGTCTTTAAGAGTTTTGCAAATTAGCTTGCTTTTTTCCTCTTTTCCTACTCAAGGAAAGTAGTGTGCACCTATTCTATTTGCCTTTAGACATTAAGAAAACAAGAATAAAAAAATATGAAGTGAAAAGGAATGAAATTACGAAGAGATGAGTTGTTGTTGCCGGGAAGGTGCAATGAAGGGTAACGAAGCCCGATGGCTTTACTTAAATTGGCTTTTCGACCAATAAACGTGGTTGAAAACAAATATAAATATTGTTACCAAAATGGGGTGAAGGATAAAATATGAAAGTTTTAAGGACTAAAACTGATATATATTATCATTTTTGTTAAATTAACAAGGAAATATCTCATCCTATCAAACCAGAAGTAACATTAAATATGATTTTATAAAAAAAAACCCGAGAAAATGATTAAATAAATAAGTTACCTTATTTAATAAAATAAATTTGGTTGAAAATTAAGAAAAGAACCGACTAATTTGGATTTGGGGCTATTCAGGCCCAACCGAGAATTCTCTGTCTGTAATCTGATATATAATAGAAAAAGGGTTCAGTAATCAGTTATGGAGCAAAACGATACACAGAACTGAGGAAAAAAAAAGTGAAAACCCTCGTTCTCTCCCCACGTTTAATTCAATCAATGTCGGATATCATGGTGGATCAACCACTTAAACCTGAAAAAACAACCGTTGGGAACAACTTACAGCAGCAGCACAAACAAGACGAAGAACAACAACCGCAGCAATCAGTACGAAGAGAGAATGCTGAATACGAAGATGAAGAGTTACACAGGCTTCTAGTCCCTGACATAACCCAACTTCCTCTCACTCCCCCTTCTGCCGTTGAATCCAACTTTGTCTCTTACTTTGCTCCAGGTTCCCCCCCTTTCCCCAATTATCTAATTTTCCTGGGTTTTGCTAATGAACCCCTAGAACTCAGGCACTTTGAAGTTAGATGATTTCCTTATGTATACTACTGGTTTTGTGTTAAGTGCATTAGTTAATTACCTAATTCATGATTTTCTTTTCATTGGTTGAAGTGAAGATGTCACTGTATAATCATTAGTTTATATTTAGGTGTTCTGAGTCCTCTAATCCAATTAAAGTTTACAGATTTTTTGAAATCAGGGATCGATCAGTATGTCTATCGTCATGCCAATGGGTGAGAATCCCAAACTTCCTTTGTTTTGTTATTTTTAAACAAAGAAAGAATGTGAATTTTAGATTGAATGAACTTAAATGATCTTAATTTGTAGATTGTGTTATTGGCTTGGCTTCAACTCACTTGGCATTTAAGGAAAAAGGTGGGATCATGGCCGTTGATTTCAATGTCGGCAAATCCAATCGAAGTGGTATGAAAGTCACTGGAAAGAGAAAGAAGGTATCTAAATTTTTATTTCTGTAATTGACTAGAAAAGTGTTTGATTATTGTTTTACAATTGAAATTCCACTTTGGGGGGGGGGTTTAAGAGGTTTATCAATGTGATGTTCTTTATTGGTAATTCTTTTAAATTGTGAGAACAAACATTATCACTTGTTATTTGGAGATCAAAGAGATCAGTTTCTTTAATGGAATTGGAGTATTAGCTTTGAAAATGTCTAATCGTAGTTAAATATGTTGCTCTTTTAGAACGCTCAACACTTCGAGTCCAATACAGCTTTGTGCAAGGTTTGCACCGATGATGATTCGTATATTGTAAGGTGGGTATGATTATTTTTGTGCAACATCTCTCCTTGCCCTCGTTTCCCCTTCATTTGCGTATTGAAATGAATAGAAGTTTCGGGCAGGTGTTGAGTTAAGGGCTCTCTTTTGGAAGTGAATGAAAGATTAATCAAACAACCAGAGCTGCTTAATTTGTCGGTGAGAGTAACTCTGCCGCTCTTCTGTACTGGTTTCTCAATTCATATATGTTTGCAACACGTTGAAATTGAATTCTTGTGAGTTTTGATGATGACACATCTGTCATCTCAAGCACCCCATGTTCTTCCCTACAATTCAAAAGACATACATTAGGATGAAAGATGATTAATATTTTAATGTATGGCATAATATGGTCAATTACATGCTGTGCTGAGTTAATTTGGGATTCTTTTAATTTGACAATTGTTGTCTAATTGTGTCAAAGTTTCTGCAGTCGTTAAAAATTCGAATTTCTCTGTTGACTGCAGGCAGATAAAGAAGGATACATAGCAATTGTAATGCCAAAGCCATCAGACTGGCTTAAGGCTTCCTTGTTGAGTCTTGAAGAATTCAAGAAACTGAGAGCACTTTGCTGAATTTAACCTCTAGCAAATCGAGAGAAGCTGGTTCTATACTTCATCACAATAATTAAAGCTGAAGGAATCCCTTCATTGCTGGTTTTCCTGTCGTGTTTTGCCGTGTTTAGTTCCCCACCGCGACAAACTCTACTATTTCTACTGTCCTAGATTTGGTTGGGATAACTATGTAACACTTCTCCATTTTCCTCTGTTTTACTTTCCCATCACATGAATGATATGAAGTGAACAAGTTAGTCATTTTCTACCCCTTGATTCAAATGATTAATGAATGTTTTCGTTTACAAAGACAAAATGCAAAAGAACTGTTAATGCCTATGCTCTATTGCAGTCAAACTTTTAATCTTCAAGGCACTTAACTATGCCATGATCAATGTCTTTACTAAGGCTTTGAATCAACTATTTCTTCTATGACATTCCGTCTCGATCTGTTGATATTGAGAAAACTTAGTATGTTCTTCAAGCTTCTTTGGAACAATAGTGAGAAAACTAAGTATGTTTTTCAAGCTTCTTCAGTTGTTCCAAGAAGCTTGAATCGTGCATACGGAATTCTCTTACAACCTCCTTCAGTACCTCAATGTTCCCATTTCTTATGCACATATTAGCGATGGCTTTACAGTGCTTGATCTCATCATGCAGTCTCCGTACCAGTCTACTTATGGTATCGAAATAGTTGATCAAAATATAAATCCCTTTGATATATCAAGTTGCTCACTGAGTCTTTCGAGCAAACTCGTGTTAAGCCCTTGATGATACGATAACCCGGTTTTCTTCTTCCAAATGCAACAAACAAACCAGGCGGCAAACCCTGGTGCTGCTATAATTCCCAACATGCCATGGAATGCAAGTATCAGCATTGCAATCACAAGCGCTGTGTGAGAAATTACTAAACAAAGACCCCAAAACTGTTTGGAGATCCTTTTGAGTTTCGCTTTCTGTCTTATCTTTTCCCGTTTCGACGTTAGTTTTTGGAACAAATCGAGGTTATTATCATTGATCTTCCGGAACTGCTGCGGTGTAATGATCGACAACGGATTTTTAAGCAATGTGAATCAAAGACGTTGAAGGTAGACTATCAAAGACATGAACTTGACTCAACATCTCGAGATAGGATTTTGTTCTAAAAGCTTCCTTGTATTCTTCATTTACATTTGTCTTGTCACTCAAGTTACTTCCATGCTTCTTCTCTGATCTGCCTGAAACAAGCAAACAAACAACAAAAACCCAGAAATCCAATCAACTTTTCAATCCATGAAACCAACTTAAGATTCCAAAAAACTGTCAAAAGAAAGAAAGAAAACCCAGAAACCCTTTCATGGTATAAATCTACTAACCTGATTTAGGCTTTGTGAAATAGATCATCTTCATCAACTCTCTTTCTCTTTATTTTCCTGGTTTTTAAAATTTTCTCATCAAAACAAACTGATTAGGTTTTTGATTGCTTGAGCTAATATTTATATATAGAGTTCGATGACTCTGGATTTGCTTAATACCACGGTGGAAAGCTTTATGCTTTGATCACACGATAGCGCCGCTCGTCACGGTTGTTTACGTGTGTTAGCTTTGGTTTGCTATTATCATAAAATAGTGTTGTGAAGCTCGGAGGGTTCGAGTTTTGAAGTTTGCTCATACGCTATTAATTTGTGTAAAATTTCTTTTTTATTTTTCCATTTAATAATTATTAATCGTTTTTTATTTAAATTACTTTTCCTTTTCTGGTAAATCCTGCTTTAAAGTTTAAAGTCTAACCCTATCAGTTAGATAAACGTGTTTTTTTAACTTGCAGTTGAAAAGATGCTGACCATTTTTTCACTTATGCTTCAAGTTGAAGCCTTTTTCTGTGATTTTAAGAAAATTGTAATTTTTAAGTTAATTATTTTTAATAGAAAATGGAAAAAGACAAGAGACTTATGATTTTACAGGAACACAAGGGGACCGTGACAGTCTCAGGAAAAAGCGGCCTGAATCGATGGTGGCAAAGGATTTACAATATGAATGTCGAAAGTATTAATTGACACCATCTAAGCTAAAAGATCAGCTACCACATTAGCCTCGCAAGGGATCTGTGAAAAATCAATAAACCAAACTTTCGATTAGAAGTGAGCGATAGCACGCACTGCAACAAAGGAACAGGTTGGGGACGGAGGAGGAAGAAGATGAATGGCCTTACCAATATCAGTCTAAACCAATACCTTCTAAAATTCAAAAGATCGTGCAAGCTACAAACCTTCATAGATTGCCCATAGCTCAGCTTCAAGGGGTGTTGTTTTGCCAATTGACTTGGTGAAAGCACCAAGGCAAGAACTTGCGTGGTCTCGAAATATAACCCCAATCGAGCCCTGACTTGCGGAGGTAGAGGCTGCACCGTCATTATTAAGAGCAATCCACCCTGAATCAGGCGAGTTCCATTGAACGTGCGTCATCATTGGTTCATTGCTAGGTCTTCGAGGTGGAGAGCAACCTACATAAGACTAGTTTTACGAGAGACTAACATGCAACACAGATTCTGGTAGAGAAATTTTACCCTAGAACACGAAGAGGTTGCGTGCTCGTCATATTTGCCACACTAAGGACGCGAACAGGATATTCCATGGTCCTTGGAACTCATCATAAATGAAATTTGAGTTTAGATTTTCCAGGAGCCAGTCTTTATGAGAAAGAGTATAGAAAGAGGCAGATGGACACTTCACAAGAAGGTTTCATTCGAGCAATAGCAAAGGTTACATGAGAGGTCTGGTCACAGATCAGTTGGAATTGGTGGTAGCTTTGTCTCCCATGGATAACCAAAGAAAACTACGGATCTGTTCAAGGACTTGAATCTTCCATATGGTGTTCCAGCAGGGGGATTTAACCTCCCAAGCAGAGCTGCAAAGAGTGTTATAGGCATTCTTGACTGAAAAAAATCCTTTTAGCATGCATATACCAATAACAGACATCAGGCCCCACATCAGCAGCAGACTCGAGTATATTATGAAGGTGAGGGATAGCATCCAAAACCAGTAAGTGTTCAAGCAACGTCCGATTCTATGTTCCATCAATGTGAAGAACATCCGTCACTTGTAAGGATAGATCCAAAGCTTGAGGAGACGCTGTATAGGTTATTAGAAGATCGAGTTCAGGTACCCAGACATCCGTCCGAAAATTCACCAAGTTACCATCTACTACGGACCACACCAAGTTGGCTTAAAAAGATTAGAAAGACTTCACCAGAAGGACAAGCAAGTTGAACGCCAGAGGGATAGTGTGTAAATGTCGTACACCTTATACTTCTCCCGAAATAAGAAAATCCAAAATACACCTTATACTTCTCACGAAATAAGAAAATCCAAAATTTAAACTATAACGCCCTAAATCCGATTGGGCCTATGAGATAATCCCTGATTTAAAAAAAAACATTTTCGTTTCAAAACATACTGCATGGTATCAAATAGACATACAATACATTTATTAAAATATTTTATAGTAATATAGTAGTGAGTGAGTATCGTCTCCACAAAGATTAGAGGGATTTTAAAAGATGATGTAGCAAAAAGGGTGTCTCTAGTGTGTGTGTATATATATGATGGTATAGACAATTGAGGATGCTGTGGCAAAATGAAATGTATGAAGATGGATTTGCAATGACAATGTGGTATGGTAACAACTGGAAATGCTATGGCAAACTGAATTGTAACAACTTAAAAATGCTAAAAAAAATTAAATTGAGAATCTGGGAATGAATAAGATAGTGGAGAACCTCACACAAACAAGCTACAATGAGGATAATTGGTAGGGTCACTAAGGAATCCTAAGCCTTGCCTTATGGAATGATTCAAGCTTTCTATGATTACTTGCTTGACAGAGTTTGCTAAAACTGTCCCTAGGTTATCTCTAGTAAGGAACCTGACAGAATAAAATGCTACGACAATACCTCTCAGTGTAAATTGCAGCACAAGTCCTATCGATTAAGTACTACCCTTTTTAGTCATTGAAATGTTATCCTTATATCTAAGGTGGATTAGGACATGGTTAGTAGCTAAGCCCCATTGCTCACGTTGATGTCACCTAGCTCTCTCATATACTAGACATCAAACTTAAGAAAAACCACTCTCGTAAGCTCTTACAATCCTAAGTAAATAATTACAATGAACAAAGTAAATATTAACATAAAAATATGAACCATTCAATAAAAAAAATTTAATCATCCACAATTAATCCACACTAAATAAGGTTAGTTCACGGTAGGGTACAAATCATCTAAAAAAATAATTTGTTCCATAAAAACCCACAAAATAGAAATGAAATAAAAGACAAGGTAAGAGGAAACTGCCAACACGCGCACTGCCGTGAGCTCCTTGGGTCACCGTGAAGCACCTTAGCAAGCTAGCTTTTCTCAAGCCTAGCTTGCTACCCTCTGGAAGCTTGGCTATGGAGGACACTACGAAGAAGATGAAAAAAGGAAGAAAAATGAAAGCTTTGTAACCGCCTTTCACTCTTGCCTACCTCACCCTTTTCCCAAAAAGACTATATCTAATTTTAGGGAATCCTTATCTATTATACTAAGGGAATGTCTTAGGGTTTTGTGCCAAAATTTTCTTTATACCCTAGGTATCATTCCCTTCACGTGAAGGGGTGTACAATGATGATGGTGGTCCTCACATGGTAGTTGTGACATTTTCCAGATCAGATTCAGCATAGAATAAGGTCATCATCAAATAACAGATGAGAAATCAGAGAGCTATTAGGCACTGTTTTGATTGTCAACTAGTCACCAGAGTCTACACAATGACCAATACTATGGCTAAGCTTTTCCTTGGTTAAATTAAACATGTATGGAGATAGATGATCACCATGACTGATCCCTCGCTCAGGAGAGAACTCATGCTGAGACCACTATTCCATTGAACTTGTATTTTTGAATGTGTGACACATAACATATATAAGATCAACGAGGGAATGATGAAGACCTATATTTGCAAGAGTCTCCTCAATAAAGCTCCAGCACATATTGTCAAACACCTTCTGGAGATCGACTTTTATGGCCATCCTTTCGTCTTTCCTTTCTTCGATTACATAGTATGGATCACTTCTTAATTTATGATAATATTCTTTGTTATAATGTGCCCTTTGATAAAACTGGTTTGGTGGGGACCAATCAGGAGGGGAATCACAGTTTAGAGGTGGTGAACCATAATCTTTATAATGAGCTTATAAAGGACAGAACAAAGACTGATGGGGCTGAAATCAATGAAAGTCTCAGGGCGAGAAATCTTCGGAATAAGTACAAGGATGGTGCGGTGAAGACTTAGATCAGTGTTATGATTTAAGAAAGCCTTTAGGGGAGCCATAGCAAACAGGTCATTTTTTTTATTTCATCTTTAGTGAGATGAGCATTCAAAGACAAAATCTTCATATTAGGAATAGTTGAGCTGAGATTGAAAAAATGATACCCTAGCCGTTGCCGAGAATATCCTCTTATAAAAAACATCATCGCAAGGATGACACATCACTGGATCCTTCTCAGCCTCTTGATCCTCCTTAACCACCTGATTCGAGATCCTGCCCTGGCTCCCACCCTACATCTACCTCCCAGATTTCCTATAAAGATGTCGTTTTGGGATCTTGCAAGACTCATCCCATTAAAGATCTATTGATACAGGCACGCCCTGACTCCACTTGATGAAGGCAAGGTTTGCACTTTGATTGTAGGATCTAGGAAGGTAGCAAGTGTTCCTACAATAAGAAGGCTCAAAGAGAATGGTTAATTATAAATGAATAAAATATAAATATAGAAATGACAACATAATAGATGATGATGATGATATGCAGGGCCGGTCCTGACATTTTAAGGGTCCTAGGCAAAATAAGAGATAAGGGCCCTTAAAAATAATTTAAAATTCAAGAATAAATTTCGGTAAACGCCAAACAAATTTTTTCATTAAAAATTATATGAGTAGATCCTATTACATTAACCAACATTATTTTCCAAATCTATAAAGAGACATCACAACTTTTCACTCAATTTAAAAAAGCCTTAAAGTGATACACCACATCCATGTTTCAAAGCCTTAAAGTGGTCATTTTAAAAAAGAATATTCATGATAATTTCAATACAAGGATACAGCTTTTGCATCACCGAGATCAGCATAAATGAATTGAAGCCTTCCGGGTTCTGGAAATAAGTCTTGTAGAACCTTGACGGCACCTATGTTTCCACGTGAAAGATTGTCCTACAAAAGAGGTAAATTCTTCCTTGTAAAACCCAGACCAATCATGCATAAGCTGTGAAAGATTACAAAAAAGAATGATAGTTCCATATCCTAAACTACAAACATACCACAATAGTTACACGGTATGACTCCCTCAGAAGTCGTAAAGCAGCATGTGAACCAATATAGCCAGCACCACCAGTTACAAGAACATGAGTTACACCTTCTTCGTGTTTGGAAAACTGAAAAGATAGAAGTCAATAAATGTCGGAAGTTGAAAATATACATAACTAAAAATGGTCATTGCTACGGAAACAACAGATGATGATATTAACCATATGCAAAGGGCAAATGGAACATCCATAATCAAGTGAACAGCTTGATTAAACTAAGCCAACAGCAAGCAATAATGAAGTCTTAACAAAAATGACATAGGGTCCTTCTATACTTATAGTTAGAACCCCAGAAATATGTTCATACATAAACCATGTAAAGTGAAAACAATAGCGAAGTTAAAATAATTGTTGATTAATGTTCAATTACCAAAGCTAAATAAATATCCGCGTGATAAACATTCGGAACAATCTTTTTATTACTGATGTTCTACAGAAAACAAATAGTCAGAACCATTATCAACCGCTCTTGCGCATTTTAAATTCAGCATTACAGAATAGAGAAGTAAAAAAAGATAGATAGAACCAAGAAGCTACCTGACTTGGAGTACCAAACGTAGGGGATTGCTTGAGCATAATAATGCATAAGGCTGTAAGGGTTGCAGCCATAAGGATTTTTCCTACAAAATTGCTCTTCCTTTTGGGATCATGATATTCCATGCCTACATGCAAAACACAAACAACCATTGTAAATTCAGAGAACCTTTTCCCTATCTTTAAATCATTATAAATGTATTAAGGTGCAACCAAGTCAACTCAACCATGTCTTAAACTGTAGACATAACAAAATACACTTTTTCTACACTCAGTAACAAATTGCTACAAAGATATTGAAAGTAAAGGGTAAACTGTAAATGAAATGAAGTTGTTTTCTTTTCCTCACCTCCTTTTTCAAGATTTAAACTTTCTAAATGAAAACTGCATGAATAAGTCTCATGACAACGACATTAACAACAACAACAACTGTCGAAATCATAAATATAAATGAAGAGAAATTGGGTTGGAATTGAAGAAGAGAGATGTTACCAGCAAAAGGCTTAGATCTGGTAGACCTTTGCTGGCTTCTTCCTCTAGCAAAATTTAGCATCTGAACCTAGAACTTGTCTTAAGCTGGCAACAACCTGAACTTACGCCTCAATTTCAGTAATCAACCAAACACCCTTACTTGGGAATGCTGTTCTGGCAAAACTGCAGTAAAAAGTAAAACAAAAACAACAATTTCTATCACATTTCTGAAATATTAAGAGATCCATAAACCAAAAGAAGAAAAAGGTTAAAAATATTCAATATATGGGCCCTCCACCCACTGAATAAAACAACAAAACCCACCGAAAATGACGATATGAAAAAATATTAATCCAAATAAAAACAGATAAATTGATAATCAATCATTTTATTCTAATTTTATTGATCATAAACAAACCCAGAGAGGAAAACCAAGTAAGGAACCCAAATGACCCATAAAAACAAGAAATGAAAAATACCCATCAACAGAGTTCGATCGTTCTCAAAAAGAGCAAGGGAATTCAAAGTCGTCACAAAAAGGTAAATGAAGAAAAAAAACCCAACTTTAATGGAAGGACAACAAAGAAAAATGAATGGAATTTACCTGAAAATAGAAATCAAAGAACATAAACATGGGTTGAAGGTAGCAAAAAAAATACCAAATGAAGAAATTGAGAACCGATCTAATATCACATATATAATAAATACATGCAAATGTACAAGCCAAGAATTTTTTCAAGCATGGGTTATTCCAAACCTGGCCCTAGGTCGCCCTCCTCGCCTTGGCTCAGGGCATGATGATATGTATGCAAGGATTTAAAGAAGTGTTTGTATGATGGAATGGTGGCATGGCTATAGAAGAAATAAGTATGTAAATAATAGTGAAGAATGAAAGTAGTATCTCATGTAACAAATGAATCAAACTAAGTTATATTAAAGCTTAACCCAAGACTTTAAAGAAACTTGAGGGGTGATGTTTAAACACTTTGAATCTTTCGATATATTAAACCTAAAGAACCATGAGTATCAGGGTGGATAGAAGGATAAGTGATGCCACAAGCACAAATGCACTTGATAAGTCGATAAAGTTCTTAAAGAACTAAAGAGAAAAACTCTCACAAATATTTGATAAAATAAATTTGATTGATGTACAAATAAAAGGATTAGCTATTTATAAGCCTTGGAATGCCTAGGATACATTGTACGCATGGTGTGAACATGAATGCCTTAATGAGTGAACATTCATGGATGAATATTCATCCTTTATGTAGGTACAATGCATGCCTAATGTTAACAAGGATTATGCTTTGAATGAATGCATGTTCATCCTTTAGATGAATTAAGTCTTCTTGGTCGAATTCATTGCCCCTTGGTATGAACAAGATAGTCCGACTCCCTTGCATGAATTTGGCTTCCATGTGAACATGATGATTTGGTTATCTTCATAAACTTGGCTTTCATGTGAACATGATGGTTTGGCTACCTTCTTTGAACTTGGATTCCTTGTGTGAACATGATGTTTCGGCTACCTTGTATACACATACATGAATAGATGTACTTTAAGCTGAATGAAACATTGTATCTTTTTCATAAATATGTTGAATTGTTTTCCTTTGAATAGTCACTTCTGGTCTATGCATCTCTTCATCAATTCTATCCATTCATAAATTCAAGGAAGGTGATGAATGGTTAAAAATCCCATATGAATTTCCAGCCTACACTGTATTTGGTAATTTAGGCATATCTCAAGCTCCCATTGTCGGATTGATACGATTCAAAGTGAGTTGGAAATTTAAGAGATAGGGGACACTACTAGAAAAAACTCCTTTAATGATGCGCATTGCGCGTCATCTATGGGTGCGGATGACACACATTTGCCTGTCATTAAAGCCACCGACATGAATTTCAGATGACGCGCAACTGTACGTCATAAATTTATGACGCGTATTTATGACACACATTTATGGCGCGCATTTATGACGCTCATTGTGCGTCATTGAAGCCCCAGTCATAAATGAAGACGACACACATTTGTGTGTCATAAATTTATAACACGCATTTATGACTTACATTGCGTGTCATTGAAGCCCCCATCATAAATGAAGATGACACACATTGTGTGTCAAAGAGTATATGCACTCAGTTGTTTTCCCATAATTATCAGTATAAATAAAAGAAATTAAACACATTTTAGTTAAACAGAATCAACATAACATAAGAAACATGATAATTGTGGGAATTTACAATGTAAAAGGAACAATCCAACCAACTGGTAGTTGCAAATCAAAGAAAGCCATATGGCTTCAAATTAGATTGTCATTGTTCTTAGACTCTTGGAACATAGAAACATGGTCCAATATTTTACAATAAAAATATGATAACTAAATAGAACAGAACATGGTACCATTTAGCTTGAAGGATTTTGTTACTACATCAATTCTCATGTTTCTGGGAGTGAAGAAACCTAGAATCTTTCTTATCATCTCCTCATCCCATAACTCATAGACGTAGTCTCCAAAGATAACATGTTCTGGTGGATAAACAAGCAAATTTTCTGCAACAAAGAAAAAAAAGGAATATTTAATGGAATGCAGCAGCAAATACCAGAAATACCAGAAGAAGATATTACATTTGTGCTTTAGTACACATGAAAAAACATATACAACATCATGGTTTAAGCAGCAAAAATAAATTCTCAATGAATAAACCAGAAACTAAGATATAAGCATTGTTTATCTCTTATATGGTTCTAAACAAGAAGGGAATAGTAGCAATCATATTAATTTCAGGGTATTAAAATATGATATCAACATAATAGTAGTACTAGTAGTAGTTAAGCATATAGAATAAACTTGAGAGGTTAAGCATTGGAAATTGAAGCAAATGAAAAACACTATCTACATTCCACAGACTAATCAAGAATCACTTATCATTTATAAGGGAAGAGAGTGCAAATATTGTGGAACTACTAAAGAAAAGGGAAGAGAGAATCCCACAGAAAGGATAGAATTTGTGGAATATATAAATATCAAAAGACTACTAATAGGAAACCTAAAAACAATGTACTGATTAATTAGTAATCACATCCTAGAAAAAGCAAGCTGAACAGTCAATGATGAAAATGGATTACATCTTTGAATGAAAAAACTTGAAAAAGGCCAGAATTAGAAAGAATGAGATGATGTTCTTGCATTTAATTATTCTGGTTCTGTGGTGGCATCCATTAACAACAAACAATATAAAAAGTTCCTGAGCAACCCTTTAAGTCTTCGTCAAGGGTGTACCAACCATAGAAAATCTAAGATATGCATGTTAGAGTTTAATTTGCCAAAGTTGAGTAACAAACACTAGAAAGACAAAATAAAAGTGGCTTCTATTACTGCCAGTTCAACCAAAAGTGATTTCAATCACAACAAATATTAAATGTTGATAGAAAAAAAAGGATCAATAAAGATATAACATACCTCGTATTCTTTAAACTCAAAACTTTCAATGACAACAACACTTGCTACATGATTAGGAGGGGGACGAAGCAGCCCTTGAGCTTCTTCCCACGTTAATTTCAGCTCTATAAAGTCTTCATTATGAATTCTTAGACGCTTACTCTTTGAACCTAGCATGCTATTCTTCCTCTTTCAAACTGCGTACCGAAATGCATATATATTGTCCTCTAGTGAAAAGAAAACCCAAAGAAATCATATACAAATGCAAGTCCATGAAAATATTTCACCTTCACAGATTGCAAGTAGCTCGTGAAGATGTTCCCTGTTTCTTAGAGTCACCTCAGTTAGTTTCTCCACAATGGTTCCCATCGTTGAGTGAAAACAATGTCGTAAAAAACTTACACTCGTGCAAAATGATGACTGGGAAGCATAAAGAAGGGAGAATTATGTTACCTCTGGATCATTTAGCACTCTTAGTGGGTAGCTATCAGGGCTAAGAAGGTCTCTCACGGCTTCATTGTATATTTCCATGGCACGGAATTTCACCAAAAAAGTCTCTTTCCCCATTCTAACATATTGATCAAAACAGAATGTCATCTATATATATATTCTACACTCCCAAGAAACAGAAGCGATAGATTTCAGATATAATATATATGAGAAAAAATAGTCCCGAGTCTATAGTTACGTTCTCGATGTAGTTGTATATATCATATACTGCATATTCAGTGATACTTCTCATTGTATACGTCTTTCCACTGCTTGTTTTCCCATATACAAATATGCTTGCTGAAGGAAAAACAAAGCACAATGATTAGAGACATTTTCTCTGGATTATATAGTTATAGAAACAACGAACAGGAAACAAACAATACTTACAATTGATTCCTTCGAGTACTGAGAGTGCAATATGTTTGGCTCCTTCCTCGTACACTTGAGCTGTATCGCATTCACTGTCAAATACTCTGTCTGTTTGCAACAAAATTAACAAAGCAAAGAAAAGAATACAGTGATTAGAAGACGATCTCAATTCTCAAATGGGCAAAGTGAAAATAGAAGCAAGTGAATTTGGAAATGTTTACCAAATGTGTAGGCTGCAGGGAACACGGAGCGTTCCGGTAAATTATGCTTGAAAACGATGGTGTGATTGTTAGGGCATTCCCAATCACAAATACGATTCATTGCTTTATCATTCAGTGGCCTTAATCTAATGGAAACCTGATCAGATGCTGAAGCAGTTGAAGCCTTTCTGAAACACATGATCAACTTCCCTTCAGGCTCTAACCGACTAAATGTTACTGCAGAAACAACATAACTATGAGTTTCAAAATAGATGCAAGTATAAAATGATAATACATGATCATAGAGAGAAAAAAGTCACGGGAAGGTACGAAAGATAAAACAAATGCACGAGAGTGTGAAACATAACTATAAGGTGGAAGCCAGAGTTTAAGCCGATTATGGAGATGCTTCCAAGTAAAGGGAAAAAATAAGCGGGAAATGATGAAAATAATGGGGGGGGGGAATTAAAATATTACTTTTATAGATGAAACACAATTAAAAAGTGTACTCCGTGTTTTTTCAAATTTTTTGGATTATGACTATTAAATATGACACACATTATTGTAAGTCATAAATCGTTCATATTTTAAGAAATATGACATTTTTTTGTTGACACACAGTTTTTGCAAGTCATAAATTAGCGTGTGTCATTAAAGGTATATTTTCTTGTAGTGGGATTAAATGTCAAGAAGACTTCATAACCCAAATATGCTTGGAATCTTCTAAAAAATGGAGAACAATCTGACTGACGTGAACCATCCCTTGGATTGCCTAGAATTGTACCTTGCACCAAACACATATTTATATAAATCACACATGCACAAGCTTGAATATGTACCAATTAATAAAATAAAAAACACTCTAATGAAAAATATGTTTCCTATGCCTAATATAATAATGCAAATGATATGATAACATAAGTAAGGAATGTGTAACATACCATATGCATGAATTAAGCTAAGTAAAGATGTGATTTAATAAGTTATGCATGAATATAATATGTTATAAATAAACATTATATAAAATTCAAGAATATTCACATCACATGTAATGCATAAATAAGTAAATAAGTATTGAAATAAGGTGAAATTCCATTAAAATCAACATTGTAAAACGTCCATGATATGAGCATGTGTTGAATAAGTTTGGCTATTGGTTGGATCACATCATCCCCCTTCTTTAGGGTGATTTATCCTCAAATCAAAGGTTATTATCATTGATTACTCCATTGGAATAAGAAAGGATGTATGTAGATCATTTAACCTTCTTTGATCAACTTCTACCTTTGAATAGACACAACTCCATTGAGTTTCTTCATGGTGTCCCTTGGAGTCATCACACCAATTGGTTAATGCATGAATCTCTTGGAAACCTTCATTGAGTGACTGATTCGAGTTTGAATGTGCACAAGTGTCATGGACTTCTTCAAGTAGGTAAGTCTTTCCAACTTCAACTTTTTTCCTTTTCCACACCTCTTTGAATCGATCATCATAAATAAGAACAATTCCATGTAGGTGATTCAATGTGCTGCAAAATGAACATACATTAGAAAAATGAAACATCATTAATAAAATGAATGAACATAGAAGATTCATGAAAGTTCATGAATGAAATTTAACCCTTGACATTTTCAAGAATCAGATTCATTGGAACTTCATGAGGTTCATCGAATGAACGAAATGTACTTGGGATGTTTATGAACACATCCCTTGAAATTTCAACTGACACATCTTTTGGAATTTCAAAATAGATGTTTCTTGAATCATCTTGTAAAAGTGTGTCTCTTAGAATAACCTGCAAGTTAAAAGAAAGAGTAGGAAGAAGATATTGGTTAGTAGAAAATGAAATTTCCAACTTTTCACATTCTTTTCTCTCACTCCCATGCTTCTTTTGAACTCTCTTCAATCTCACACTCTTGTTTTTCAATGTGCTTATCTTCACTATCAATTATCTTTTCAATGCTCTCATTTCAACTCCGAAAATTTATTTTTCAAAAGACTATTCTATGTTTGAACTCTCCTCAAAGCATTTTTCTTCAATTGTAACTTCTTTGAATTGTTTCTTCATTACCGCAATGCTTCCTTTAAGGTGGTTTTGGTCTTGAAGTATTTGGATTGACAACAATGATGCCAATGTGATTTTCTATGCATTGTGGAAGAAAGAATATTGATTGTGGAAACCATCATGTGATGCTCGTTTATCAAATTACCAAGGTCGTCTGAAAAGTAGATGGCTTGAATTCATGGAAACAACATTACACAAGACTTCATCTTCATATCTTCCAATTGTAAATGGCACAATTACTTGCTTTGCAAAACATATGGGCTGAAATGTTTGAACATTGTAAGTCCCAATTTATCTACCATGTATGTGCTCGCGAGGTTTGCACAACTTCCGCCATCAATGGCTACAAGGCATGTTTTATCTTTCACACAACAATTAGTATGAAACATATTTCTCCTTTGCTGCTCGTACTCCATTGAAAAAAATGAAAATTATTAGTGTAGTAAAGAATGAAATTAATATGAAAGACCTTACTAATGCTCACTCACAAAGCCTCAAGTTCACTCTAAAGAAAAAAATTGATGTCACTCAACTCTTGATCACTCGTGTTTCACTTAGGGATTGATTAGCTTTTTCTTGTCTTCTACCGGTCTTACACGCTCCTTATGTCTTTTTCAACTCGTTTTTGTCTTGTTAAGTTCTAAAAAAACTAACTCAAGACCTTCAAATAAAATTCTTAGACGTTTCTTGCAAATTGTTGTTAGATAGGAAAAGAAAAGAACAAATGGATGGTAATAGGTTGGCTTAGAAAAAATAAGAGAAAAAATGATGGAAGGAAAGGGGATTGTTACTACAAGACACTTACGTCCTTCCCTAGCCACAACCAGTCATTATAACGGCTTCAGGCTTGCTTGCAATTGTTTTTGTATGAAAACACCCTTTGCTTTTAACTTGCTCTTCTTTTCTTTCGCTTTTACTTACTTTTGCCTTTTTCAACGTTTCTTTTGATTGACACTTCTTTTTCCTTTTGATTTGCTTGATTTGTTTGAAAAAAACTTTCTTGCTTCCGTCTTGGCTCTAAATACCATATGATACTAGTACGCCCTGACTCCACTTGATGAAGGCAAGGTTTGAAATTTGATTGTAGGATCTAGAAAGGTAGCAAGTGTTCCTGCAATAAGAAGGCTCAAATAAAATGGTTAAGTATAAATGAATAAAATGGAAATGAAAGCGAAATATATAATGATGATGATATGTTTGTAAGGATTTAAAAAAGTATTTGTATGCTGGATTGATGGTATGGTGATGGAAGAAAGTCATATAGAAATGGTAGTGAAGAATGAAGGTAGTAGCTCAAGTAAAAAAGAATCAAACTAAGCTATGTTAAAGTTTAAGTCTAGACCTTATAGAAACTTAAGGGGTGGTTTTTAAGGACTTTAACCTTTTAGGTATATTAAACCAAAACAACAAGAAGTATCAGAGTGAATAGAAGGATAAGTGATGCCACAAGCATAAATACACTTGATAAGTCGATAAAGTTCTTAAAGAACTAAAGAGAGAAACTCTCACAAATATTTGATAAAACAAAGTTGATTGATTTACAAATGAAAGGCTTGGCTATTTATAAGACTTAGAATGCCTAAGATACATTGTATGCATGGTGTGAACATGAATGCCTTAATGACTGAACATGAATGCCTTAATGAGTGAACATTCATGGATGAATATTAATCCTTTATGTAGGTACAATACACATATGATATGATAACATAAGTATGGAATGTGTAACATAACATATGCATGAATTAAGTTAAGTAACGGTGTGATTTAATAAGTTATACATGAATATAATATGTTATACAATAAATGAAAGCATATTCTAAAGCTTATTCACGTCACATATAATGCATAAATAAGTTAATAAGTAATGAAATAAGGTAAAACTCCCTTAAAATCAACATTGTAAAACGTTCATGATGTGAGTATGTGTTGAATAAGTTTGGCCCTAAGTAGGATCACATCACCTGTTGCCCATAGATTACGAAGATAATTATTATTTGAATCACAATAATTCAATAATTCAATAAAAAATATATAATGATAGAATTGTTGGCTCATCTGACACTGTTATTATTAATAATATTATTACACCTTCCAAGATAATTTTCAAAAACTATCAACTCTTCATTAATTAAGAATCCTAAGACGATCTTTTCAATTACTATAACCTCCCAAAAAAAATATGATTCCTCTGGACATAAGCCTTGGAGCTAGTTAAGACACATAGATTAGACTTTTAGACAAGACTTTTAACAGACCCATGTGATTTGTCGGTGTAAAATTTAAGGTTTGGCTATGTGTTAGAATGTTAATAGAACTAGTTAATATTTTTTATTGTATTATTAGGTAGTTACACTTTTGTTAGTTTGTTAGCAAGGCTTAATGGACTATATAAGCCTCCTATTGTAATGGGTTAAAGAACATCTATTGTAATTTATTTCTACAGTTGGTAAAAAACCTAAAACTCCCTATTTATTTGTTATCATCAATTGTCTTTCTATTCTTCATTAAGTACTGTCATTCAGCGGTGCCCGGCCACTATGCCAAAGTATCAACATTTTATCATGGTATCATTCGCCGATGTTACTGGACCTTACTTTTTCCACTTTGATGTGATAGAATTATCTTCGTTTCTTGATGTCATCATTGACTCGTCGCTGTGATTTCATCTGTGATTGTCAGTGTTCTCTTCTCAATCTCTTACAAAATCGTTGGAGATTGCAATTTTATTTATCTATTATGATGTTCATTGATCCATCGTTTTCCTCTTCTACAACTCTGGTTGCCGATTGCTCTTCTCTTACACAATTGCTTCTGTCACGAGTACCATCTCCGCCTTCATCTGCGACTATCATTGATCCAAAGTTGCTATCTGTATTCTATCTGAGATTTGACTCTACTTCAACTGAGTTCTGTTCTCTGTTCACTGTCATTGTCTTGATCCTTCTTCACTCGTCTTTGTTGGTCGGTTCAACGGTTTAAACTGAAATCGTCGTTTCAAATGTCGTTTCTAATTATCTGTTGATGTTTTTTTTCGATGTCTTCTTCTATTGCTGATGGTACAATTGTTGACGCTGTCGATCATCACTTGCAGTTTTTCAATTTGGTGAGGTTTATATGTTTGCTTGTGTGAATGTTTTGAATACTGCTTTGACCAAAATAAAGTTGATGTCAATAGTTCATGTGCCGCTTGGATTTGCTATTAGGTATCAATAAGGATTCCGGTTAGTTGTTTGGTTTTGTAATGCTCTTGTTGAGAATTTGTCTTAGAGAAGGGGATTCATAATCTGGTGGTGTTTGGTGCAAGATTGCATTCAAATGGTTGAATTTCTTTTTTGTTGCAATAGAAATTTATTAATTGGTATTTGTGGGTTTGTTATTGAGATGCTTGATTCTTGGTGAGTATGACGACAATTTTCTGTTAGTAGGGGAAGATTTTGATGTTGATTTTGCGCTTTAATCCTCCATTAGGGCATTTTGGGAGTCTTGAGTTGCTGATTCAAGTTCGTTCACTTTGATCATTAATTGAATCACTAGTTTATGTGGTTACTGACTGTTGATTCTGATGTTTGGTTCTCGGTATACATTGTTAGTTTATTTTCTTAAGAGCTGTTTGTTCTAGTTTTTTCATGATTTGTTGCTTCTAATGACAAGGTATCATGGGATTTGAAATCTTCACAGCCAAGTGTCCATGACGCAAAATCTAAAGGAACTTTGGATAAGAGGATGAAAAAGAAAAAAAAAGAAAGGTGAATAAAGTTCATTGAAATGAAGCATAGCACTTTCGATTTAACGGAATGAATCATAGAAGTTTCGATTATCGATAAATAACCTAAATAAAAGGAATAGATATTTTAAGGATCTTTAAATGAAAGAGTGAAGAAAGAAAGACAGAATGGTGAATGAAGAGAAAGCATATTTCTTTATCAAGAACCAGCTCAAGTGCTAATCTTTACCTCAAGAAGGTCGAAGAAATAGGATGAATGTTAGAATGTTAATAGAATTAGTTAATATTTATTATTTTGTTATTAGGCAGTTACACTTTAACTGGTTTGTTAGCAACACTTAATGGACTATATAAGCCTCCTATTATGATGGGTTAAAGAACATCTAGTGTAATTCATTTCTACAGTTTGTAAAAAACCTAATGCTCCTCATTTATTTGTTATCATTGATTAATGTCTTTCTCTTCTTCATTAAGTATTGTAGTTCAACGATGCCCGACCACTGTGCCGGAGTATCAACATTTTATCACTATGAGATCTATCTAATCTAACGATCTACAAATAGACATAATAATTCTATATTTGACGTTATTAGTTAAGACCATTATAAATACCTCCCATCAAAATTGATAAAAGGCTTGGAACCTTCTACAATTAACACCCATCATTATCCCGTTTTTTCTCACGGAGGGCATTTCATAATTCGGAGGTCTCCTACGGAAGCTGCTCTTAATTTGGTGTTGGGGGCAGCCTAATATCTTACCTCCCCCTTACCCCATACATATGGGAAAAAAGGGACAACCATTTATTATCCCGTTTTTCCATGACTAATTATCTCTTACATAGAAACATTGATCAACTATTGTTCCTTCATAAATCGCGATTTTTCGTTTATATTAAAAAGGGTGAATCGTTAACGAATAATGCAATTAATTTATTTTTATTAATAAATACTGAGAAAATTGTGAATTTAAATTTGAATGTTAGAATTACGGATTTTATCATTACAAATTGTGCATTAAAAAATTAAAATCAGAAAGAAAAAAAGAAAAAAAGCATACAATGACTCAATGAGATTTTTTAGAAGGTTTTAGTTGTTGAAGAAAAGAGTTCCCTCTCCATTAAACCCTCCATGTAACAAAACAACAAGCGCAAAGACGGGGACAAACTTCGCCGAATTTAAGAAAATCGTTGGATGATTGCTTTATGATTAGTCCAAAACGAGCACTCTATAAATTCTTGCATCCACTTCTTATCAATTAGGAAAAGGATTTGGCCGCATAATCTATTTCTCTTTTATTTTAGTCCCACTATATAAATTCAGATTTTGACGTTTATAAATTGAATAAATTAAATTGTGAAACAGTCGATCAATTTAAGTATTAGTCCTTATAAATTCTATTTAAAATAGTCGATCAATAAATTAGATATAAGTAGTTAAAATAATAAGGGAAACAAATGGTGGCAACTGAATCCAGAAAAAAAAAATAAGAAATGCAATACAAATTATAAAATTATAATATATTCGAGTGTTCATTATCAAATTATTGAAAATCTTTAGAACATACACTACCACTTATAAGTATCAAAGATTAACAAAAAAATTACCCATTTTAATTATACTCAGAAGTAATGGCAACATCAAAATAAGAAAATATATGTGTACATATTTATGGTTGCCAACACATTGGATTTTAGGACCAGAAAATGCATTTATTACACTTTGACTTGCATGCATATTATACACATTGTGTTTCTAATAATATTTTTTTTTTGTCAATTTTTGGTAAAGGATAAATAAGGTTATCGTACTTCAAAAAAGTAATGTGATCCTGTATCTTTTTACATTTAATGTGGCCTTCAAATTTAGAAAACACATTTGATAGGATCCTTTGACTAACGATTTTCGTCGTTGATTATTACGGTCTTGACATGATAATTCACGATGGTTGGTGATGTGTCAAATGTACTAAATTGATTTTTCGAGAGTTAAAATAATTTTTTTAAAATCAAAGACTTATTTGCTTTTTTTAGGAAAAAATATTTAAAATTTTTGCTGAACATATCTGAGACGGATTCTTCGATGATTGGCATTTCCTTAAAAGTACGCGCAACTAACTATTCCAATAGATATTGACCAACATGCTTTCTTTTATAAAATTTGTTTTTTTATTGAATTTTTAAAATAAAAAATTTAAACTTTGATATGATTATTTTAAATATTTTAAACTATTAAATCTTATAAAATATATATTTAAAATTTTGAAGATTTTTAAAATATATTTTTTTATATTTTTAACAGTAATAAATTTTAAATAATATTCATGTAATTTCTTTCTAAATAATAATGAATCAAAATAAAAAAAATTGATAAGAAAAGTCAATAAAGAACAAATAGTATTATTATTTATTCCTGCATCTACAACAGCGGATATGCAGATATTAGCTTGGTAAGCATTATGCTAATTAGGAACGAATAAAATTCTCTTTTAAAGAATTTGACCTGGTAAGCTATTTATATATATAAATATATATATTCTGTCTAATGTCTAGTTTTGTTTTGAAAATGTTGCATATTTTGTGGATCACAAATGAGTTGGAGCTTCATATTTTGTATACTAAGTATCTCAATTGTCAGATGTTTTGTATTTAAAATACTGAAGATGGTTTTTGAGAAATTTTAAATCAGAAATTTTTATATTGTGGATTTTGGGTCGTTCGTGAGCTTGAACGTAGCACTTTAAACCTAATGTAGACCTGCATTGGATTTAGGGTGTTACAAAATTAAAAAAAATGTACTAGCATAATTAAAAAAACATAAATAAATAGTTAGAACTATAACACTAAACTAAATTGAAACATACAGGCAAAATAAATACGAAGTAGATAGGATAGAATGGATTATTACATAATGCACACGATTAATCTTAAACATAAAACTTAAAGTCCTGATTAGGAAATCTTTCTTTATCCATTGCGTATCGGACCATCATTTAGTTGTAATTAAGGCCCTCCCTTATTAACTACTTCTTTTCCATTGAAACCACAATGTTAACCTTACTTTGATGCATTGAATTTTTTGGAGGATTCGCTGCATTTTCTGCAAACCTTATGAATAACTCGTCAATTATAGCATCTCCAAAATGACTGCAGATCATTGGCTCCAAAACAGCTCTCATAGTATTTGCATACTTTTTCCCCATTTGCATATTAATGTTGAAACCCAAGTCTTTGTTACGGAGCTGCTCGTCTCTATTTAAGCAATTGACGTCCACTTCGAAAACTCGTAGCTCCTCAATTTCAAACGATCCTTCTCTCTCAACAATATCAGCCACTTCTTCTCTGCAGGGTGCATATAAAGGAAGGTTGAATGAATCCACATCAGCCTCTTTCACAACTCCCTACAGTTCTTCAAAAAGTTAGTTTATTACAATAGAATAACTGTAGCCAACATTCTTTCGGATCAAAACAAACCTGTGCAACCAAGTCAAGAAGGGATATAGCAACAAGCTCCAAACCATAATCTTCGTTGGAGGGATTTGGGTTTTTCCTAGCTGTAAAGGTTAGCACCATACGACCTTGGGGTATTATTTCTTTAGAGCGCATGCTTAAAAAATTTGTCAAGTCTTTCCGAAATTGCTGTGCATAAGCCTTGACAACATTGGGAGGACTTGATTTTGCCATGCATATGTTGCCCTTGTTGTTCTCCACTCCAACTGGGACCTAACCACAAGCATGATCATAACATCAAAACAGGTATCGAAGATAATTAATTGTTTGAATTTCGTAAAATGACTGACCATTGACAGCCAATGCAAGGCATAAGAAGAATGCACGAAGTGGAGGCTTCTGGTTGGGAATAGCCTGTGATAGAAAGAACCTGCAACAACCCCTATATAACACCTTTCCTTCACCATATCTCCTTTCTCTTTCTTCAGCCTCTCAATGAAACCAGGAAATGACTTAAACACAGAGTTGAAGTCATTCTCTGGAAGATCATTTAGAATCACTTCAAATTCGGGTAATTTCAATCGGTGTGTCTTACATATCCCATGGATGGTGTCGATAACTTTAGATATAGTCATGAAGGTGTTAGGACCTGAAGAGCAACCCAAGTCTGCCACCTTCATGCAAGTTGGAATAGTTTTGCTGAACATATCTGAGACGGATTCTTCAATGATTGGCATTACCTTTAATATCACTGCGTTCTAAAAGCACAAACAAGTGTTTTAGCCTATATTTGTTGAAGAAAAGTAGGAATAAAATGGAGAAATTAATGAATAATATTGAAAAACGTACTTGAATAACAGAATTATTGGCATAACTAATTTCATGATCTGCTTCGTTCATGCGAAGAACCTTTGCTTCTGCCATTTTGCTTGATCAGCTTCTTAACAAAATTGATATAATGTGGCGTTTCCTTTGTACCCTGCTGTGAAAATATATTCAAAGACTACGGGTTTTCTATACGTATTTCTTTGAACATAGCTATCCGATAACGACCAACAAGCTCTTTTCTATTATTATTATTATTATTATTATTATTATTATTATTATTATTATTATTATTATTATTATTATTATTATTATTATTATTATTATTATTATTATTATTATTATTATTATTATTATTATTATTATTATTATTATTATTATTATTATTATTATTATTATTATTATTATTATTATTATTATTATTATTATTATTATTATTATTATTATTATTATTATTATTATTATTATTATTATTATTATTATCATTTTGTTAGGTTTGGTTTGTAAATTGTTAAATTTGACAAGTTGGAAAATTCATCTTTAGTAGGTGGCCAATTTTACACATGGGAATTTTATATTTGGTTGGTGACCAACTTATTGGAAAATTCATCTTTGGTAAGTGACCAACTTTGCACATGTGAATTTCATCTTTGGTCCCTAAAATATTAGATTATTTATAAGTTTAGTCCTTAAAACTCAACTATAAATAGGCTAAGTATTTCATTAGAAATCATCCTAAAATAAGTTCTCTATTCCTCTTGTTTTCTTCATTCTCTCAGTTTGGGAATTCTAAAAAATTTCATTTGTTGTAATATTTGTTGATAGTGAAGTTATCATCCGATGTGGTGCCCGAGGAGTAGACGATATTCTTATCGAACCTCGTAAATTTGGTGTGTTCTCTCTTTTATTGTTTTTTATTCGGTTTTTTCATTGTGTTTCATTATTCAATAGTTTGACGGGTTTATCTAATGTGCAACCTTTGGTGGTTTTGATCTTGATATTTTATGTCAATTTTAAAACTACGTTCGTGTGGGAAATAACCCGATTTCTCCAACATAGGTGTATTCTATACGTATTGATATAATATTTAGGAAAAGTGTCATTTCGATAACAAAACTAATGTATGAAAGATACTTTTCTTTTTTATATTCAGCCATCTAGAACGGCCAATATGCAGACATTGACCTGGTAAGCCCCATGTTAGTTAGGAATGAAGAAAATTTCATATGAAAAATACAGAATTAGTTTCGGTCAATGTTTGGAAAAAATATTTATTTTTTATTTTTTAAATTAGTTTCCAAATTATTTTATTTTTTCCATACATGAAAAAATATTACTACTTAAATTTAATATAAATATAGTTTATTTTTGTAATCTAAAAATATTTATTTTCAATTATGATTTAAAGTTAAAATATTATCAAGACTATAATATCATTTATAAAACTAGTTAAATCAATATTCATTCAAATATAGTTATTACATTATAAAAATTCAATGAAAATATTATATTTATATTTAAAAATCTAGTTAATTGATAATAAAATTTATAATTAAAAATCTAGTTAATTGATAATAAAATTTATAATTAAAAATTTATAAAACTGTATACAAAAATAATCAAACTCATACACAATCCGAACGATTCAACTGTCACCTCTAATAATAACTACCTATACTCAACAATATTGAAATTGAAGTAAATAAATAAAATGTGAATGAATCAATCCATTTCATTTCTTCATATTTTGTTTTCTATACCGCCACATACAACAAAATATGTCAATTGAGTTTTGCAGTACTTGGTCGTCAGTAATCACTTGCTTAGTAAACCCTTTAATCCAAAGCGTTATTTTAGTTGTGTGTCTTACCGTGCTATAACCGTTTTAATTATATTTGATAAATTTTCTGTTGAATTTGAAATAATTAAATTATTGTCGATATAGTGGTGATATATATGAATATCTTTTTTTTTTCCCTTGTTGATTGATGGGAAGCAAGACTGTTTTGTGAAAATTGAGTGTATTAAATGCAAATTGGTTATATGTTATGTGACGCATGTTGGTCTATTGGATTCTGACTTTATGTTATGTATTCAGATTATGTGATTATGTAATTTTTTTTACATTCGGATTAGATTGGAAATTGGATATATGTTATGTTATCATGTCATTCTCGGTTGGGATTGATAGAGAAGTTTAGTGTGTTCACCCGATGGGTGAATTCCACTTTGGATTCGAACCTACTCTACGAACGGTGTACGGTGTATGAGTGTATTTATATCTGCATATTTACTCGCACTATAAATATTATGATTCATACTGTGATTATCCTTGTTGATTTTTTTGAATAGTCTATTTATTCACATATTTTGACTGCATTGAGATTTATAGCTCACCCCCTTTATTTCTCCCTTTTAGATATTTCAAGATGTTAGAACCATATTGACATCTCGAGGACCGGAGTCTCGAATTTAAATTACTTTTTTGAAAAAAAATTATTTTCTGTTCAAGTGATAATAACTGTATAAATATTATTTATATTATGTCTTGACGGATTTTATTTATATTATGTCCAGAGTATCTTTATTTATTATTTATCAATATTTGCAGTTTTAAGTTGCAGGTAGTAAAAACAATATATACAACAAATGAATACTTACAAATATGATGCAAGAATTTTTAGTTGACTTGCTCTCATTTATTCAGCAATCATTTTGCTACAAAACCAACTTTTATTTATATATATAGAGAGAGAGAATACAACATCAAACCCACATGTTCAAACTCAAAATATATTTAAAAATTTTAATTGAGAAACCTTTCATTATCCGTTGCCTTTTGAGCCATCAATTCCTTTATTAACTACTTCTTTTTCAAGGAAACTACAATGTTAACCCTCCTATTGAGCATGGAATCAATTAAAACGTCCTCCACATTTGCAGCAAGCCTTGTGAATAACTTGTCGATTATAGCATCTCCAAAATGACTGCAGATCATTGGCTCTATAACGGCTCTGATGGTATTCGCAATATTTTTCCCCATTTGCGTATAAATGTTGAAACCGAAGTCTTTGTTACAGAGTATCTCATTTGTATTTACAGGATCGGCGTCCACTTCGAAAACTTGCAGATCAGTAATTTCAAATGATCCTTCCTTCGAGACAATCTCAGCCACTTCTTCTTTGCAAGGTGTATAAAAAGGAAGGTTGAATGAATCCACATCTGTCTCTTCTACAAGTCCCTGCAATTCTTAAGTTAATTTATTGCAATTGAATAATTGTAGAAATAGAGTAAATGGATTATACGGCACCTGTGCAACCAAATCAACAAGTGATTTAGCAACAAGCTCCCAACCATAGTCTTCGTCGGAAGGGTCGGTATTTTTCCTAGCCATAAAGGTTAGCACCATACGGCCTTGGGGTATGATTTCTTTGGAGCGCAAGCTTAGAAAATTCGTGAAGTCTTTCTGAAATTGGTCCGCATAAGCTTGGAAGACATTGGGAGGACTTGATCTTGCCATGTATACGTTTCCCTTATTGTTCTGTAGCCCAACTGGGAGCTGGTGATAAAATCAAAGTTAAAGGAGATTAAAATAGATTTTTGATTCAAAGAGAATGGTTTTGGTCAAGTGACCAACCTTTGTGAGCCAATGAAGCGCATAGGAAGAATTGACAAAGTGAAGGCTTGTAGTTGAAAAGAGTCTGTCATAGAAAGAGCCCGCAACTCCTCCTACAAAACACCTTTCTTGTACCATATCTCCTTTCTCTTTCTTCAGCCTCTCAATGAAATCAGGAACCGACTTGAACACAGAGTTGAAGTCATTGTCCGGGAGATCATTTAGAAGCACTTCAAACTCTGGAAATTGCAACGCTTCTCGCTTACATATCCCATGGATAGTGTCTATAACTTGAGATATAGTGTGGAAGGTGTTAGGTCCTGAAGAGCATCCCAAGTCTGCCACCTTTATACAAGCTGGAGCCATTTCCTTGAACATATCTCTGACCGATTCTTCAATGATTGGTGTTATCTTTGATATCACTGCTTTCTGAAAGCACAAAGACTGGTTAGTATGATATTTGTCGGAAAAAAGAATATCTATAAAGCAGAAATCATGTAATAATGTTCAAAAACAGACTTGAAGAACTGAATTATTAGCATAGCTAATTTCATGATCTGCTGCGTTCATACGGAGAACCTTTGCTTCTGTCATTGTGCTTGCTTAATTTCTTTACAAACTTGTGTACTTTAGTGTTTTCTGGCGTGTTTTCCTTAACATTCTGATGTGTGTGTGTGTATATATATACCCACACGAATCAAACATGGATTATGGATGCATCTGCCTAGTAATTAATTGTTTATACGCTGAAACTGTATGGTTTTTTCCACATTATTTCGTCTTTAATTTTTAATTAGGTTCACACATTCAGTTTGGTCAAAAAAATCGACGTTCTTTGGAAAGAGCTGTCCAATAACGACCGCCTCAGTCTTCTTTATGAATAAGTTTGTTAACAACAAGAGAATGACGAAATCAATAAGCGAGAGATATTCTGATAAATGATCGGTTTGTCTTTGTTCAATAATTCGGTGATAAAATTAGTGGATGAAAGGTACTTTTCATTGTTTTATTCCTGCAGCTAAAGCGTCCAATATTTGGTAAGTGTGGAAAATAAACTTATGAATAAAAAAAAATATTTTATTAAAAAAATAAATATTAAAATTATAAGAAATTAAAACGTGGGGATCGGTCCATTACTTTTATTTCTTCATATTTCTTTAATATCAAACCAACCATAATAATTAGGATGTAAAAATTGACTCGATTTAAAAATTGATTTAAATTTAATCCATTTATAATATGAGGTGTCATAAACTAAAAACGATTTAATTCTGAATTGATGTTGATTTGAACCCGAATTAAACCTAGTTATTTTGGATCTGAACCCCACTCGAGAACCACCTAAATCTGAATTGAACTTGATAACGTGATAACCTAACTCGACCTGCATCCGACCTAACATGAACCTCAACCCGGTATTAAACTGGTAAATAACTTATATAACTCGACTTTAAACGATCCGAGATTCGATTTTACTCAACATGTTAATTGATCAGACATGTAAATTATCCAATTTGTTGTTAAACTGATATGATATTGATTCAACTTGGTATTTACCTGTCTTGTAAGTTATAAATTTGTAAATTGTAATTGACAATTGATATTCTAACACGACAATTGACAAAATAATTCTTCACCATGTAAGGCATATTATTAATAATGATCATTAGATTAATAAATTTACTTTTTATAATGTAATTTATAAATATATTTAAAATTTCAATTAAAATAATACTTTATAATCGATAAATATATTAAAAATAATTATTCAATATTTAAAGCACATAATTTATTATGACCATTAGAAAAATAAATTTAAATATAACTATTAAATTAAAAAATTTGCTTTATATATGTGTAAATAATAATTAATAAATCATTTATTTTTTTATAATACTAATAATAATAACTTTAAATTATTAATTATTTTATTTAAATTATTTTTATTAAATGATTTATTTATTGATTATTAATTTTATTAGATTATACATTAGATTATATAAAACGGTTTTAAAATATTGATAAGTATAAACCATTTAATAATGTAGGGAGAAAATAGAGAAAAGAAAAAGTTCATATTTCGAAGTTTCACTAAAATTTTAAAAAAGTAAGGAAAGAGAGAAGAGAGAAACTTTTCATTTTAAAATCATTAAAAGTTTATGTGTATAATTATATTAAATCAACATTTATACTTTATATGTTAAATGTTATATTTTATATTAATATTTAATCAAAAATTATGAGTAAATTCAAGCTTTCAACCGAAATTGATCCCTGTTTATTTTTAATTTTTGTAATTTAGTCTGATAATTTTAATATGGTGCTATGAAACATAGGGCAGTGATCTGAAACTTCAAGAGCCAATAATTCAATAAAATAGTGAGAAAAGGAAAAATACCAACTAGAGCTCACCCTAACCTTGTCCAATTTCCTACTTAAGAGTCGATCCAGCTGGTGATTGTAGCAACAAAAAATAGACCATACAAATGCATGATAAAGGAGATCAAGAGCATGGACACACTCCTAAAACTCTTCCATGTCCCTAGAAAAGTCAAACTCACCACTGGAATCAGAGCTATCTCACGGTCATAAAACAAACGACTCCATAGAAACCTTCTACCAATGCCATCAATGTACCCATAAAAATAATGAAAAAATCATTCTCACCGCTATGTTGAACCCTACAAGTGATATTATGCTCGGATGAAGCCACCACATCGAATAACCCTACTCTCTATAAGATCCAAATCCTACCATTGCTAGCATTCATATAGCTATCACAACAATACCAACCCTTAAAACTATTTTTTAAGAACAATACATTTGTTATGGTGTTTAATCATAGTTTCCAAGAGCACAATTACATCCACCTTTAACTCCAAGCTATACTAACAATCTGCTTTTGTTTAAGAAGTCAATTCAATCCTCTAACTTTCCAGACTGAGCACTGCATAACAAATTAATAAATACTCTCAGAGGAAGCCTGCACCACCTTACTACCCCTTCTCCTATCCAACTGAAACCTTTTATCTTGCTTCAACTCCTTAACCAATTCAGCCACTCATACAACAGCTGTTTTATGCTTCTTTAGAGAAATAACACCTCCTACACCATCCCCAACCCCTTTATCGTGTAATCCAAATTAGTAATTATAGGTTCAGTTAAAATAGCAAACCTATTTTCAGAGTTCAACCTACCCGAACCCTTAGTAGACCCATTTAAGGCTGCGCACTCCCTTGCCAACTCCCTTAACAGAGAACTTAAAACATCTCTCACCCTTCACCAGTAAAAGGAGAAACAACCACTTGAGTCTCCTCAAGGCCTCCTTACCCTTAATAACACCTTCAGACACTTCCTTCTACTTCTACAACATGACAGGTTTAGTTATACCCCTTGAAACCCACTTCTGACCAGGGACCTTCCTAGGGCATGTTGGAAAAATTATTGAATGAATTGATGTTATTTATAACTAATTAATAGTAAGTCATGTCACTTGATGAATGAACTTAATTTTTGGTTTAAAGTTGCACCCATTCAATCATACCTATTCAACAATTCTCTTCATGAAAAGATTAAATCCTTTCATGAAAAGGTTAAGCCCTTTTCATCAAAAGGATAAATCCTTTAATTGAAAGGTTAAGTACTTTCATCGAAAGTTCTTAACCCTTCAATCCATTTCCTCCTTTATATATAGGCTACTTGCACAATTCTAAGGCATAACACAAGTTACAAAAACAACTTTGAGATACAATTCACAAAGTTGAATTAGGATAACACCTAGAAAGTTATTTCTAACTCCGTTCATCCCATTTCATGCCTATATATGAGTAACAAATTTCATTTCTTTACTTTAATTCTCATTATTTATCGTGCTTCGTTTGATTATATAATAATATTTGTTTATTATTATTATTTTTATCTCATATTAACATTTAGTTTAACAATCTTAGGATAGATTATTTCTTATTTTAAATCCGAGACGAACTTGATTATAAGTTTAATCTTAATCGTACGAATGAAATAAAAAGAATTATTGCCATAGGAGGAGCATTCGAATGTCTTTTTATATGGAGATTGTATTTTATGCGATGAAGTCCATATTCCTCAATAATAAATTGAGGTTTTGAAAACATATTCAAATGACATGGGGCAAGATAAAGCATTGTCTATCTATAAGGTAACCTTGCTTTAATGTATCTAATGATGATTATTAATGACTTGTAATGCAGATTGTAAATTCAAAGAAAATTCAAAAAAAAATTATGGCTCAAACCAAATTCAAAAAAAATTGCAAGTCGAAGCTACATGTTGATTTTTCATTTAGATTGAAGAAAGAATAGACATGTTGGAAAAGATTTCTATCTCCAAAGAAAGATTCTTAAAAATCACGTTGGCTTTCGCGCATTGAAGATTGATTATGTGTTTAGCATTGATTTTGATGCAATTGCACTTCAATGCATATTGCTTTTATGGTGAGAAATTTCTATCACATAAATTTATAATGATTTTTCAAATACACACAGCTTTTTTTTTTTGTAAAGTCATCTTAGCCTTGGAAAAGGTTACATATCTATTAGGTTTTAAGTCATTAAAATTCATTGATTTATTTACTTTTTGGTGTTATTACACAAGGAAATGAATAATTTGACAAGTCAGTTCTAATGGCTAATAATTGTGGTGGTTGAAATCACATTGACCGGATAGAAAGGATATTGTGCATGTAAAAGGCTCCTAGAAGATCAACGAGTAGTTATCTTCGTGCTCTAATCCTTAAGGAAGTTGAAGGCGCTATAGATGCAAAAGGTAAAGTCTCATTAACAACCTTTTGTAGGTTCACAGAGAAGAACCTCAAATTTTACCATGTCCACAAACCTTGGTGTAATGTGATAAAGCTCGTATTTTTTGTAACTAATAGTGAATTTCGATTAAAAAATGCGAAAATGTATGTGTATCCATTTCATTTTTTTATAATATTACATTGAGATTATAAATTTTAAATTTAAACATACAAATATAGAAAAAATTAAATATAAAAAATTTAAAATTAAAATTAAATTATTAAAAAAATTAAAAAATATATATTAACCTAGAATGATTAAAAATGTTATTGTTAAATGATTAATTTAATTTAGAGAATTTTTTCTCTCTGAACATGGTTGATTTTTCTCTGAACAAGATCGATTTTCCTTGGTTTCTTTGGTACGCAAATGCAAGGAGAAGACTCGATGGTCACCATGGTGATCCAGGCGGGAGAAAACAATGAAAATACAAGCAAGAGCAATAGCAATAAAAGAGTTAGAAGGCAAGACGAAGACATTGCAGGAGAAGAACAAATTCAAACAAAGTCTTGGCGAGACACAATGGCATATTCTACAATTTTCACAGGAATATTCAAAAGCACTGCAAGAATTGAAGAAGAACACTATGAATCAGAAGAAAAAGAGGAATTTCAAGATAATGATATTGATAAACTCCGTAAAAAGACTATTTTAAGGTCTTTTTACTTAGTTATTGATAGTTTAAAGCCATTTTCATAGCATTTAGTTGCATTTGGTGGAAAAGTCTTGTTGCAATATAAATTTATTGATAAAACTGATGCTACTAAAGAGAAGGGTCTTATGGTTGTGGTGTTGTACAGG